TTAAATGGGGATACCTTTGAGAAATTCAATTTCTGTTCTTTTTAAAGATTTTATTCATTTATTCATGAGAGACAGAAAGAGAGGCAGAGACATAGTCAGAGGGAGAAGCAGGCTCCCTGCAGGAAGCCCCAGGTGTGACTCCATTCCAGGACTCCAGGATCACACCCTGAGCCATAGGCAGACTCAACCGCTGAGCCACCCAGGCATCACAAGAAGTTCCATTTCTGAATATTTATTTAAGAAGACACTGAGATCGGGATGCCTGGGTGGGTGTCTCCACCATTGTAAAGCACATGATTTGTTTTATATAATTATTTTTTTAAAGATTTTATTTATTTATTTATTTATTTATTTATTTATTTATTTATTTATTTATGAGAGACACACAGAGAGAGAGGCAGAGGCAAGGAAGAGGGAGAAACAGGCTCCATGCAGGAAGCCCGATGCGGGACTCAATCCCTGGACCCTGGGATCACACCCTGACCCAAAGGCAGATGCTCAACCACGGAGCCACCCAGGCATCCCTGCTTTATATAATTAGAGCTATCATTGCAGGACACTGGAAAACTGTACTGGAGAAATGTACTTTCTCCAGAGTATTGGAGAAAAACATACGTAAAATTTTCAGCTTAGTCTGAGTATGTACCAAAGCCTTTCCAATAACTGTGGCCTTTATTTATTTATTTATTTATTTATTTATTTATTTATTTATTTATTTATTTATTCATGAAAGACACACAGAGAGGGAGAGAGAGAGGCAGAGACACAGGCAGGAGGAGAAGCAGGCTCCATGCAGGGAGCCCGACGCAGGACTCGATCCCGGGTCTCCAGGATCACACCCAAAGGCAGGCACTAAACCACTGAGCCACCCAAGGATCCCCTAACTGTGGCCTTTAACTATGCATTTCTGCTTTTTAAAATTTATTCTGAAGAATGAGTATAAAGGTTTGAATTATAGAAGTGGTCCAATAAAGAATTATTTTATGATAATGAAAAAAAATCCACAGTCTAAAAGTGCAGTATTAAGAGATGAGTACAATAAATTGTAGGTATTGTATAAAATACAATACCTCTGTATTATGAAATACTAAACTATGCAACAGTTAAAAAGCCTGGGTGGCTCAGTCAGTTGACTGTCGGATTTTTGATCTCAGCTCAAGTCTTAATCTCAGGGTCATGAGTTCAAGCCCCATGTTGGGCTCCATGCTGGGCATGGAGCCTACTCAAAAAAAAAAAAAAAAAAAAAAAAAAGCCTCTTTTTGAGCCGGTTCATTTCCAAACTGGGTGAAACGTCCCTGCTCTGAGTGCCATAAGCCTTGTACTTGTCCGTATTGGCACTTCACAGAATATTGTTATGGCTTGCTTAATAGCCTGGTCCTCCCTGCACTAGGGACTATGGCCCCTTTGCTTGCCATCTGTTTAACACAACATCTTGCACATAAGAGATCCCCAGTCAAGGTTTATTCAATGTATGAATGACTGTATCTTCATACAGAAGACTGGAAGATTATATACCAACAGGTTAATAAAGCTGATTTCTGGATATTTAAACAGTTTTCTTCTTTATACTTTTTTGCACACTCCAAATTTTCTAGAACGGACCTAATACAGTTTTGTAGTTAGAAAAGATAGCCTATAATTACTAGACATCATAACTCAGAGCCTGCCTTAAAGTACTTGGAGCCCAGTTTTTAAGATGAGATTCCTGTTTGGCTCTGCCCTGTTTCATCAAAGCCATTTTCTACAAATCAAAACTCAAATATCACACATGTTAAAAGGTAATTAGTCTCAACACCAGAAGATTCATGGAAGAGATCCATTAAATTGTAAATTCTCCTAAGACCTATACGTGTTGACATCATTTTCAGAATAGTCCATCCGCTTATTTTGAAGACAACCCTGCAAGGGAAGTTCACTGGTATTTTATTTTGTGGAAGCTACCATTTAGAAATCTTGTTCATCTTCCTAATCCACTGGTCATTTTCCCTAGAGCATAGATGGTACCAAGCATTTTTATGAAAGTTTTAGGTTTATACTTTTCTTTGAGGTGAAATGATTTGCTTTTTTCCCAATATAATTAAGAGAAAAAAAAAATTTTTTAAGTTTGCATCCGGGCAGCCCCGGTGGCCCAGTGGTTTAGCGCCGCCTTCAGCCCAGGGCCTGATCCTGGAGCCCCGGGATCGAGTCCCACATCGGGCTCCCTGCATGGAGCCCGCTTCTCCCTCTGCCTGTGTCTCTGCCTCTCTCTCTCTGTCTCTCATGAATAAATAAATAAAATCTTTAAAATAAATAAATAAGGTTTGCATCCTGGATCTTTAGCCAGGGATGTTTCACAATGGAAAACACAAAACTATACATAGTTTTAGTTTGTCCTCAAATTGTTTCCTTCTATGGCTCTACCCTCCAACTATCCCCCAGGTCCTCAAGGCACACATTTCCCAGGCTCCTCTCATTTGATTTTGTAGAAGCTCCAAGCCCAGATAAAAATATTTGAATAATCAGTTGTTCTGATCTCACTCTTTTGAGACTCCTTCCCAGTTAATTCTGGCCCGTGTCTGCTAGTGAACACCCTGTCACACACAGACGCACAAGCCCCATAACTGTAGCTTGCATCATGTTCTCCCCAGGCAATAATTCCATCTTCCCATTTGCCCTCGCTCCAGTCAAACAGCTCTGCCCAGCATGCCTCTCATTCTAGTTACATAACAACCCAGCACCGGGTTTTCCTGCGGCCTTGCCTTTCACCAGCCGGCTGACCTGACAGCCTTGCCCCAGGTAATTGAGTGATTTCAGGTGGTAATTGCAGTAGTGCCGCCTGTTATAACACCATCTCAACACAGTGGCCCCCAGGAAGAAGTGAGAAGGAGAAGGAAAATGCTAACCACCCGAGACAACTTAGGAAGAAGCCCCAGTAGTGTGTCCAAGTGTTTGCATTCTGTCCCCAGGCCTTCGTCCTGGCAGGCCCCTGGTGACATTCCCTACCAGAACAGGCACCCGGTGCAACGAAGGCAAGCCCATCAAATAGACAAGCATATAAGAGCCGAAGAGTAAGTACACAGGCTCTAATGCCAGGCTCATCAAAATTGAGCCAGCCTTCCTATTTTGTTTTGTTTTTAAATATTTTATTTATTTATTTGAGAGAGAGAGAGCAAGAGATAGAGCATAAGCAGGTGGAGGGAGAAGGAGTCGCAGACTCCCCACTGAGACAGGAGCCCCATGCGAGGCTTGATCCCATGACCCCAGGATCATGACCTGAGCCAAAGGCAGTCGCTTAACCAACTGAGCCAACCAGGCGCCCCTGCTTCTCTTTCTTTTTAAACGTTTTTGTTTTTTTGAACTTAAGTATAACGAACAGTTTGTGCTATTAGTCTCAGGTGTACAGAATGTTTCAAGACTTCTGCACACTAGTCAGTACTCTTCATGATAAGCATGCTCTTTGTCCTCATCACCCCATCACCTATATCACCCATCCCTCCACCCGCCTCCCCTCTGGCGACCACCAGTTCGTTCTCTGCATTTAAGAGTCTGCTTTTTTGTCTTTTTTTTTCTTTGTTTGCTTCATTTCTTAAATTCTACATGTGAGTGAAACCATATGGTATTTATCTTTCCCTGACTTATGTCTTTTAGCCTTATACCCTCTATATCCATTCATGTTGTTGCAAATGGCAAGATTTCATTCTTTTTTATGGCTGTTCTGGATGGTGACATTGGGGCTTGGTTAAGTACCACATCTTGACAGCAGGGGGACAATTCCTTTTTTTTTTATTTTATTTATTTATGATAGTCATCACAGAGAGAGAGAGAGAGAGAGGCAGAGACATAGGCAGAGGGAGAAGCAGGCTCCATGCACCGGGAGCCCCATGTGGGATTCGATCCTGGGTCTCCAGGATCGCGCCCTGGGCCAAAGGCAGGCGCCAAACTGCTGTGCCACCCAGGGATCCTGGGGGACAATTCTGACCTCGAGCTCTTGACCTTACAAAGCAACTGCCCAAAGCAGATATCATGTAAGCTTACATATGTAACTTAAAATTTTCTGAGTAGGCATATGAAAAAAAGTGAAAAAAGAAACAAGTGAAATTAATTTGGATAGTATTTTATTCAACTCAATATATCCAAATGCATTCATATCCAGTTACATTTCAGCATGTAATCAATATGAAAATATTAATGAGATATTTTAGATTTTTTTGTACTAAGTCTTTGAAATCTAGTGTGTATTTTGTGCTCGTAGCACACCTGAATTTGGACTAACACATTTCAAATGGTCAAGGACCACATATGGACAAAGGCTACTGCATGAAACAGAGCAATTATAGAGGAAGTATGCAGGATTTTGGAGACCGTCCAGTCTGACTCCTTATTTACAGAAAAGTTAAGTACATATTCTGAGGTTATGCAACCAGTTAATAGAAAAGGCGGGATTAGAATCCAATTTCCTCATCTATCCTGTGGTCTTATTCTCAAAGCTAATTAGCTGTAAACCTGGGCTAGAATCCGCACCTCCTTATTCCTGGTCACACCTGCCCTAGGCCTCTCTTTTCCAGGAGGCATAGCCTGGAGGGAAGAGGCCTTTCTACCTATCTTACTTTCCTCCTAAATAAACTACAGCTCCACTGGAAACAATTTGGCTGTATACCAAGACCAGAGTGGGGTCGAATTTTTCCATATCTTTTCACCAGATAATGTTTCTTTTTTTTTTTTTTATGACTTGTCACCCTTGTCCCCGAAACCAGAAACTCTTAGTTTCACCAAGCTACTTAAAAACTCTGATTCCTTTATGAGATGGTTTTCAATAGAAGTGTTCATCAGAATCACCTATGGAGCTTTCAAAGATTTTAGATTGCTGGTCCCCTGCTTCAAATCCTGATTTAAAGGATTTGAAGCAGCAGCCCCCTTGTGGAGGAATGTGAGTAGATCACTATGTTTCAGTGGTTCCCAAGTGATTCTGTTGCACATACCCAACTCACAATGACCTCACCAACTGCCAGCTCACCGCTGGCATTGCCAGACTGGACAGGTGTGGTCTTCAGAAAGAGCCTGTTTCAAGGAAAGAAACATGAGAAATAGGTACCCCAGCACCTTCGGGGGCGGGGCTCCCTGGCTTCATTTTCCTCCACACTCTGGGCACCCAAGGCCACCTTCAGCCTCATTTCCTGATCGTCCAGCCTCACCTGCAGAGCAGCCTGGGCTGGTGAGGGAGACAGGAATGCAGCAGACAGGACTCACTCTCGCTCTCGTGGCCTTGGCTGTCTGTGTGGCCCTTCCCTCCTCAGAAGGTGAGTGAAGGTGCTGGCTCTGTAAGCCTCCAGCAGAAAGAGGAGGCACTGCCTCCCAAGATGGAGCTGGAAGGAGTGAGGTGCTGGTGGCATTTTGGGGCAGGAAGGTTGATCTGCATTCAGGTAGGAATTTCCATTTACCTATGAGCGAGCGGCATGGGTTTAAGTCCCTGATCTTCAAGGATGGAACCTCCTTTGAACAGGAATATTAATAATTTGCCACACGGAGGATGAGAGCCTTCCATCCTGGAGCTTTGAGCTGTGTTTCCTCTTCTGACAACAGTTATCTTAGAGAATCCCCAGGTAGAGGTTGGAGGAAAGCCCCTATTACTCATCTGTCTCCTCCTTCACCTAACCTGCTCCACTGGATACAAATGTGCATGTTCCTGGAAGAAAGACAGACTTGATCTTCTGGGTTAGGGGTTTGGTAAGCAACAAAATCAGCCCCAGGGATGCTAAAAACCACAACTTCAAACCGACAATGAAAAAAGGATTCAGGCCAGGGACACTTGGGTGATTGAGTCAGTTAAGCTTCTGACTCGATTTTGGCTCAGGTCATGGTCTTGGGGTGTCAGGGTGGTGGGATTGAGCCCCACTTGGGGCTCACGCTCAGTGGGGAGTTTGCTTCTCTCCCTCTCCCTCTGTGCCTTCCCCCACTCTCTTTCAAAAAATAAGTAGGCCTTTCAAAAAAGGGGGGGGATGCAAGATAAGGGAGATTGAACCATACAAATTATATCAAAAGGAGAACTTCAATTATGAATTGCTAGCATAATACGGAGATTATAACTGCATTTGGACTCGGAGGAATGTTTCCTACTGTATTTAGGAAAACCTAAACATAAGTACTTAATACGTGACTGATTTGACTCTTTTCCCCAGTCTTCTTTTCTGAAACTTCATTCTGAATAGATTCTCTAAATCCAGAACAGAGGTGAAATAAAAGTTCTGTTTGGTCCTCTTTTGAAAACATTAAGCCAACATGTAAAAACTGGCAGATTTAATACACACATTCTCATACATACACACACACAAACTGGGATTGTAAAGTCTCTCTTGAAAAATCACGGCTGGCAACAGTGGTTCCATGTCCCCTGGCAAGAACTGGCTAGAGCAGACTAGCCCTCTGTCCTTCACGGAAGTTGGCTACATTCTATGAAGCGCCTGGTTCCTGTAGGCATTGGTTTAGGGGCACCAGTGTCGTGCACCAATGTACTGGGTTTATATTACTGAGCACAGAAAAAAAAATCTGGATAATCTCTTCTTTATTTCTATCCATCTATCTTATCAAGACAAAAACACAAGTGTGTCATTTTATAGGTTTCTGTAAAATTACTTTCAGAAAAATTCACCATTGAAACTGTAGGATTCACTTTCACTGTTTCTCAAAGGTTTACCCGCTAAGGCTTTATACCTGGTTTTGGCAATGCAAATTTTTTTTCACATAAAGCTTTGGAATCAAAGTGTAGGTTTCTCCTTTCAGCTTCCTGACCTGTTTTCAATTGTCGGCAGCAAGAGCAGCACCTCTCTTGCAGGAGAGGAGGGAGAGAAGGGCAGGTGGGGGGCAGGGGGTGGGTGACGAGGGATGCCCCTGCCAGACACCCAGGGCTGAGCCTCGCATGGGGACCAGTCTTGGCAGAGTGGGTGAGACAGCAAAACACAGAGGTGTTTGAAAAAGGAACAGTTGGGTGACGGGTAAGAAAGAAAGAACTGAGGAGACCCCACAGTGGCCTTCTGGGTTATTCCCAGGGCTTTTCCTCAGGCAGTTTGGGCCACCAGAAAATCACAGTGTCTGAGAAGCGCCAACCCTCTGCCATTTAAAAATAAGCGACGTCAGGTTAAAATACACAAAAGCAGGCCTGAGAGCAGTCGTGGAACTGAGAAGGGCAACCAGCTGCTCTCTTCAAAAGACTTCCATTGGGTATCTCTGTGTCCCATGTGCCCCATGGGAGGGCAGGGGCAGGAGGGGAGGGAGGCGGGAAGCTGGAATACTGAGGAATAGGTGGCTTTGGCAATTGCCACAGGCTGGGGTTGGGGCTGGGGAAGTGGTCTGTGCCAGTTTGGGACTTTGAGAAATACGATTTGTTCTTACAGGCATCAACCGTTGCATTGTCTTAATGGTGCCATAATTGGCCACTTTAATGTTATGGCTCAGTAATTGGCATTCCCGAAGTGTTATGCATACATCAGGAAGCAGTTGACTTACCTGCAATTAAAAGGCTTGGATCCTACCCAAAGTTAGGAGGGCAAGCTCTATACCTGCTGACGTGGCTGCTGGCTCCCAGAACTCAGTAATGAGTCTATAAAAAAGGTCTCTCCTCCACTCTCAGTGGCCCTGACCAGATTACTTAAAGCCACAATCTCGGGCTTTGTGGGCCTGGCTGTTTTCACTATATACATTTAGAGTAAGGCTCTGCTTGTGTCCAACAGATGCAAGGTGGAGGGTTTTGCTTCAGAGTCCCAAACTGACTTCCTTCGGGCAACCTGTTTTTCTCAAAATATGGCTCCTTCTTACACAGATACTTGCTAGGGATTTGCTGCTTGCATCCTAAAAGAAAATTTTATTTTCTGTTTTTTTTTTTTTTTTTTTAAGATTTTATTTGTTTGAGAGAGACAGGCAGCATGGGTGGGGGCAGAGGGAGAAGGAGAAATAGACTCCCTGCCAGCTGTGGAGCCTGACAGTGGATTGACGTGGGGCTCCATCCCAGGACCCTGAAATCATGACCTGAGCTAAAATCAGATGCTTAACTGACTGAGCCACCCAGGTGCCCTGTATTTTCATTTTAACCATAGGAGACTCAGTAGGGAGGGTTACTAAGAATATACATTTGTGCTTGAAGTTGTTCTGAACAATTGGGACTTTCCATTTCACCAGGAGTGGTCCCTGTAGGGCCTGACATGATGTGCCCAATAACCTGTCCTTCAATTTCTCCCCTGTTGTACCTTTTCATTAAAACCATGCCAAAAAAAACAAAAACAAAAACAAAAAAACACCCACCTCACACCCTGCATTCCCTGAATTCAATACCATTGTTAGATTAAGCGTCTAGATTTTTTTTAAGATTTATTTATTTATTTATTCATGATAGACAGAGAGAGAGAGAGGCAGGGACATAGGCAGAGGGAGAAGCAGGCTCCATGCAGGGAGTCCGACGTGGGACTGATCCCAGGACTCCAGGATCACGCCCTGGGCCAAAGGCAGGCGCTAACCCGCTGAGCCACCCAGGGATCCCCTAGTATCTAGATTGGTTCAAAAACTCGGTCATATCTATAATGTAGTTCAGGGTTTTAAAATTTTTTTAATGTTTAAAAAATATTTTATTTATTTAGGGGGAGGGGCAGAAAGAGAGAGAGAGAGAGAATCTCATGCAGACTCCCTACTGAGCATGGAGCCCGAGGCAGGCTCCATCCCATTACCCAGAGATGAAGACCTGTGCTCAGCCAAGAGTCTTGCCACTCAACTGACTGAGCCAGGTGCCCCCAGGGGTTTTTAAAAACCCTTTTCTGGGGATCCCTGGGTGGCACAGCAGTTTGGCACCTACCTTTGGCCCAGGGCACGATCCTGGAGACCCGGATTGAATCCCACGTCGGGCTCCCGGTGCATGGAGCCTGCTTCTCCCCCTGCCTGTGTCTCTGCCTCTCTCTTTCTCTCTCTCTCTGTGTGACTATATAAATAAATTTAAAAAAAAAAACAACCTTTCTATGTCTGGAGAAGCAGTATGATATACCAACGATCTTCTCAAATCTGAGTCATACATGGGTCACTTTTACTCTCAGTGATGACCTTTAAATTATTATCCTATGTTATTTGATATATAAACATTAAACCAGTTACAAACCCCAAAATAAATTTAAAATTTAAATAAAAACACAACCAGGAAGCCAAGAATATTTCAACGTAATAGTATTAATTTAAATTAATAGTTAACTTTTGGCCAAAACTAACATCATCATTCCAAACATGAATATAGCACTGATTCTTAAGATGCAGATTTTGAGCTTTATGTGCATATACTACCATGTTCAGAATGAGAAGCGATTTTTCCCTCATCACTTTTTTTCTGTTTGAACCACAGTGATATAATGGAGTCCTCCCTTAGCATGAATGCAGTATGAGATTCCAGTCTGTTCTTTTCTGACTGACCTGGGACCATTTTTAAGGTGGGGTCTGACTTTGATAACAACACTAGCATAAACACAAGTACGATTTGAATGTCCTGAAAATGCTCTTTTAAGATGGTCTTCCAGAAGATCCAGAACATTTCTATTTAAAGATTATGATTGAGATGACATACCAAAATTTAGGAATTGTCTGGAGAGTTCATGAACTCTGAAAGCACATCCATAGGCCCCCTCCTAGGAAACCCAGCTTGAGAAATACTGGCAAGACTGGGAAGAGTCACTTTGGACTCTGTGCATTTACATATATGAACCCCCACACATTCACACACATTTTTTAAAAAGATTTTATTTATTTATTCATGAGAGACAGAGAGAGGCAGAGACACAGGCAGAGGGAGAAGCAGGTTCCATGCAGAGAGCCTGACGTAGGACTGGATCCCAGGTCTCCAGATCAGGCCCTGGGCCAAAGGCGGTTCTAAACTGCTGAGCCACCCGGGCAACCCTCACACAGATTTTTAAAAGCATAAAAAGAACCACTATCTACACATTACTTACTATTTTCTTATTTATATTTTAATTTGGAATTTTAATTATGTACATAAATAGCAACATGAAAATGAGGAGTTCTCATTAAGCTGGACATTATCTCTAGGTGAAAGGACTTCCAATTAGTCCACTTGCAGTATGGCATCACCCAAAAAAACAAAGAAGCCTAGTATAGTTTTTCCTGAAGAAGAAAGCCAATTTACTACATTCAGTATTGACTTCTCTGCCATTTTTCAATAGAAATATTTGTTTACTGCATGGAGTTTCCAATGTTTACCTATAACATTGGAAGTTCTCCTTCCACAAATCTTCTACAACTATGTATCTTTGTAAAC